CGGGTCGGCGTGCTGGGGGGGTCGCCGGTGCGCAAGCCCACTTTCCGGGCGACCCCGAGGGTTAGGAGGCCGGGCGAGTGGCGGCAACTCATTGTTAGTGTCCCGGGCCGCTGCGGCACCGTTTATACGGCCCCTCGTGATGTCTTTCCGATTTTGCATTGTGAGTCGTCCTCTGGCCAGCCGAGGGGCACCAGAACGGAATGTGTCAGTATGCCGTCGTCCCGTTCAAGCAGGCGCGGCCGCCGTCGAAACGCCATCACTCTCGCCCAAGTATTTGAAGATCCCGCCCCGCGCCGTCTCTCACCCCCTGCATCTCCCAATTCCGCAGGGTCGTAAATGGGGCCGCATCGCCGACGGCCTCACCAACCGCAGCCCGGCTTCCGTTCGCAACCGCTACCTCAGAATCGAGCTCGGGCAGCAAGCGCGACGCCTCGGCCTCGCCAAGAACCGCTGCGCCGCATGTGGGCAGCCCAAGCTGGGCCACGTGTGCTCGGCGAAGACCTCCGGCTTCTCGCGCGCCACCTCTCTCCTCACCGCCGTCCGTCCGTCGGGCCCGACCGTTCCACGCTCGGCTGCTGCGCCGCCGCCGCCGATGCAAACCGCGCAGACGCCGCTGCACGTGAGGCCGCTGATCCTCAGCGTGCCGGACCCGTCGTCGCCGCTCTCGCCCACGTCGCCGCTCTCGCCCCCCACTTCGCTGCTGCCCGCCCACCCGCCGCCCGTTTTGCGAGCCTTCGCGTATGCCATTCCCATCGGCTTGCTGCCGATCCAACCGAGCATGACCTCGGCGAGGGCGGCGCCGCCCCCCGCCCCTCCCCCCACTGCCCCTCCGCCGCTCGTACGGCTGCCGACGGAGCCGGTCCTACACCCGCTCACGACGGCGCACTCTGTCTACACCCAACCCAAAAAGCACGATTCTGAAGTTGGGCCCTCCCACTCCCGCCTCTCATTTGTGTCACAACACGCGGAACGCATCTCCATCGCTTCGGTGAAGGGGGTGAACCGCGCCATCCTCGATCGCCGTGCAAAGCTCGCTTCCAAGCTCTCACGCCGCGCGTAGGGCCCTTAGGGGCCTAGAGGACACAACCCCCTGTCCCTTTTCTCCCAGTAAGCAAAAAGTACGTACGTACGATAATCGGCAAAATGCAAGCCCCGCCATCCACAACCTCTTTTCGTATCGGGTAGGACGGGCGCTTGTAGTTTTCGAAACCCGTTACCTAGTGCAGTGACACCCCACCAAGGTCGAAGGCTGCCGACACCGACCGTGCCAGTCCCATGAAAACGGCAACATGGACGGACTTCCTCCGCCACCGACGGTCATGTTGTGTCTAACAAGTGCGGAGACACTCACTGGGTTATCACGAGCAACATGTTGCAGCGGCATGATCGAGGATGGCGGCGCGGCGTGCTGCGCGCAGCAACGCGGCCCTCCGACGAGCGACGTGGGCGCAGGAGCTCGCTGTGAACGTCGAGCGAAGTTCGGTCACTCTACACTCGGACTCTACACACCGAACTTGTGGAGTACTGCATGATCTCTCTTACAGCGTCTCACTCATCGACATCGTCTGTTATCGTCCCGAATGTGTTGCCTGTGTGTGTCCTTTCTCCTTTGTTGCATTGTTCGCTCTATCTTTGCTTCTCGGGTCCGTTGGCCACTTTTGTCGTAGGGAAGAATTTTGATACCCGTCAAGACGCCTGCTGGGGGCAGCTTCGCGATGAAGCCGTCTGCTCCCCCAGCAAGGCACACACAAGACAGATAGGAGGAGAAAGGGGATGGTGGTGGGTTCGACGAGGAGAGAAGGAGGTGCTGGCGACGCGCTGACGTCAGCTCTGCTTCTGAAGTACACCTCTGAAAGGCACCCCAGAGGTGTAGTACACCTCTTGAGGCACCTCAGTCCTCAGAAGAAACGACGCACTTTTATCGATCTCGTCGCCAGACTCCGATTTCTCTTTGTCAGCACAGGCCATGTGCCGCTCGCTCGTCCGCCCAAGTGACTTGGACGCGCGGTCGAGGGCACCCCACCGTTCTTGGGGCGCGCTGGTGCTCACCAGCGATCGTCCCCCCACCCATCCACCCTTTTTTCTTTGAGGCTGTCGCTCCGAGAAAGCTCGTCTCGGCTCTCGCAGCTGCGCGAAGTTATATTCTCGGGTCCGTTGGCCTCTTTTGTAGGGAAGAATTTTGATACCCGTCAAGACGCCTGCTGGGGGCAGCTTCGGCCTTCGCGATGAAGCCGTCTGCTCCCCACTTGTCAACAGCAGGCGCTGGCGCCATCAACGTATCAACGTTCCTCCCCACATGATGTTGACAGGGTGGGTGGGTGGTCCATCTATCTGCTCCAAGGTATTTTAAGGACGTCACCCAGTCCGCATGGAAGGTATTTTAAGGACGTCACCCAGTCCGCATGTAAGGTATTTTAAGGACGTCACCCCGTCCGCAAGGTATTTTAAGGACGTCACCCCGTCCGCAAGGTATTTTAAGGACGTCACCCAGATTTGCGCGGTGTTTGACTCGCTTTTTCGAGGCGGTTCGGGCATCGGGGATCTCGATCTGATTTTTCCCCCTATTAATAAGAGCGCAATTTGGACGTCTCAACCCGCTCATCTCTCCGCCGCCTCCACCCCCTGCCCCGAGGAGGTTCCTTCACGGGCCGAAAAGACGCGCCGCAGGAGCGCGGGCGGCGTGCGGCGCATGCGGCCCCAATCGCGCAGACAGAGGCCAATGTTGAGGCCGGCGTGCGCGCAAACCGGCGCGAGCAGCCGGTGGCCACTCAGCACGTACAGCGAAGAGTACAGCGCGCCGTACGCGGCGGTGGCGCGGAACCAGAACGCCTTTGTGTCTCGCACGCCGCTGGCGGAGATCGGCGGAGCAGGCGCCGCGTCGGCCGCCCCCGCCGCCTCAGCCTCCACCGCCTCCACCGCCTCCACCGCCTCCACCGCCTCCACCGCCTCAGCCTCCACCGCCTCCACCGCCCCCGCCGCCCCCGCCGCCCTCGCCCCCGCCGCGTCATCGGCGTGGGCTGCGGCGGCGGCACCCTCGACAAACTCCGCGTGCACCAGCCCAAACAGCGCGGCGCTCACGAGCAACGGCAAGCCCTCGACGAGCGGCAGCGCGCCCGCCGCGGCGATGTCCACCCCGGCAGCGCGGAGCGGGTAGCTGATGGCGAGCACGCCCGCAGACTCGACGAAGCCGCGGTAGTACAGCTCCTCTGCCAAGGCGACGGCGAGCTGCCACGCCACGATCGCCGTCGCGGCGCGCGGGAACGACGGCTCGGCGGCGGAGACCTCGTAGAGCGGCCGCATCTGCTCAGCCTGCGCAGGCGTGTAGTCGAGCTGCCGCTGCTGCCGCTGCGGCTGCTGCGGCTGCGGCTGCGGCTGCGGTGGAGACTGCGGCTGCGGCTGCGGTGGAGACTGCGGCTGCGGCTGCTGAGGCTCCTGTGGGTCGCCCGCCGTGGGAGCGAGGAGAGACGGGAGGACTCCCTGTCGCGCGAGCTCCGCCAGGGCAACACCGCCGCCGACCCCGGCCTCCACCAGTGGCGCACCCCACCATGCGGCAGGGAGGGGCGAGAGGCAGCCTGTGGGACATGTCGCAGGCATGTCATGGACGTGTGACGTGTCCCGGACATGCGCCCCCGGCGGGGAGCGGGCGAGAGCGCGCCGTCGTACGCCTCCCACGGCGCCGACAGCCCGAGGAGCGAGGCGCTGGACGGGCCTCCGAACGGAGCGAGCAGCAGGCTCACACCCAGTAGAGGCACCGCCGAGTACAGCGCCTGAGTACCCGAGATTACGCGAGATTGCGCCGGCTTCTCCGGGAGTACGCACCACCTATGGCACCGCCGAGTAGAGCACCTGCACGCCCAAGTTGGACAGCAGCGGCGACCAGCCGACGCCACCGCTCAGAGGCGCGCGGCGGTCGGCGGCGGAAGCGTCGGCGGCGGCATCGACAGCCTCGCACGCGACGATGCGCGAGCCTCGTCCGCTGGCTGCGCCTACAGAGACTAGTGCAGAAACGGGTCCGAGTACTCGGCGATGCCTTGCGAGCCCTCGCCCGCGCTGGCTGCGCCCGTGGCGAGGCGCTTGCGGAGCAGCAAGTTGCCGCGCGCCTCGCCGCAGCTCTGGTACCCCAAGCTGTCGTACAGCGCCCGCGCAGCTTCGTTCTCCGTCGCCACCGCGAGCCAGGCCTCGTCGACGCCGTCAGCCGCCCACACCTCCCGCGCCTCCTCCTCGCAGAAGGCGACCAGCGCGCGGCCGACACCGCGCCGCCTTGCCGCCGCCGCCACGCTCACGCTCTGCGTGAAGGCGACCACGCGGCCGGCGCTCTCCGCCCCTGTGGCGCGGGAAAGCTCGACCTTCATGAGCTGAGCGGTGCCGCAGAGGCCGCCGTCGCTGTCAAGTGCAGCGGCGACGGCGGGCGGGCCGATCGGCCGGAAGAAGACGTTCGCCTCGAGGCCCGGCGCGCGCAGTGACGCGAGCCGCGCGAAAGGCCAGCCGCCGAAGCAGTCGGCGACGAGACGGGCGCACCGAAACTCCTCCGTCAGCGTTGAGGCGCGGCGGACGGAGATCGCCAGCGCGAGCAGAGTCCCCGCCAGCATCGTTGCGTCGGGCCGAGCTTCTTCTGGATCGTTGCGGGCATAAAGAAGAATTTAAACAGGACAACTCTCTCTCACAGCAGACAGGCTCGACACAGGTGCGAACTGGCGCGTGCTAGTACTATCACCGGCACACCTAAAGAAGAAAACAAAGCGTGTTCTGCCTGCCGTCGCCGCCTCCCCCTTCACCACCTCCCTCGACACCTCCTCCTCCCCCTCCACTCTCACCCGTTCCGCCGCCGCCGCCTCCCTTGCAGCGTCCCTTGCTACCCCTCCCTCCCCCCCCCCTCCCCCCCCCTCCCTCGCCACCTCCTCCCTCGCCATCTCCTCCCTCACCACCCCCTCCCTCGCCTCCCCCTCCCTCGCCACCTCCTCCCTCGCCGTCTCCTCCCCTGCCGCCTCCTCCCTCGCCGCCTCCTCCTAGGGTTGGAGCACTTGGAGTGCAGTCATTAACCTCACATCCAGGGCCGGGGAGCTAAGAAGCGCACCCAGCGGTTTGTCTGTTTTCTTTCTCACATGACAAGCGATCCGACAACGATTGTGGGGACTACATGATCCGTACGTGAAGGGTGGAGAGAGAGATCTTTCTTGAAGGGTGGAGGGACCCGTCCGCGGAGCTAGGCGGTACGGGCGCCCTCCACTGCGGCCGAGGGTAAGAGGACGTCTGCCGCTTGCTTGTTCTTGACGTCGTTGACCCAGTTGGCACGCCAGAAAGAAAAGAAAGAAAAGAAGGAAACAACGCAGATTTTTTTTCTTGGCTTGTTCGAGCTGCGGAACCTGCGACGAGGCGAGTGCTGCGGCCGATGACCTCGTTCGTACTGCTCGTGGCCGCACTGGCCGACGCAGGTCAGCCTCCCTCGCCGCCCAATCGGCCGTCGAACCGGCCTGTGCACCGCGGCGCCGCGGCGTTCCGGCGGCAGGTGGAGCAGCAGCACCCGGCAGTGCTGGTGGTTGGCGGGCTGGGTCTGCAGGCTGCGGTGCGTTCGGTGGCGCGCGGGCGGCCGCCGCCGCTGCGCGAGATCATCGGCCAGCGCGAGGAGGCGGCGCTCGTTTCCGAGGCGCCTCCCGGCTTTGCGAGCCTGGTCGGCCGCGCTGTCGTGCTCGCTCTGATCTTCTCTCCGCCGATGCTGCTCTCGTGGCTGGCGTGGCTGTGGCCCTTCTTCCGCAACCGCGTCTGGTACCGCATGCTCACCGCCTCGCTCGCGCGCGCCGGCACCGCCTTCATCAAATGGGGACAGTGGTCCGCGCCATTTCCGAGACACTTCCGAGACACTCCCGAGGACACACACACTCCTCCGACTCACCACCACCCTCGTGCCGGCTCGTCGCGCCTGCTCTCTTACCCTCCGCGCCTCTCTTCTCCAGGGCGTCGTGCCGGCCGGACGTCTTTCCGACGGCCATGTGCGCCGCCCTCGCGTCGCTGCACTCGCAGGCGCCACGCCACGGCTGGAGGCACACCGAGCGGGAGGTGCGCGAGGCGCTCGGCGCACCCGTCGACCAGCTGTTCGAGGACTTTGAGCGACGGCCGATCGCCTCGGGCTCCATCGCCCAGATCCACCGCGCGGTCTGGTTGAACCAGACGGTGGCCGTCAAGGTGCGCCACCCTATCCCTAACCCTAACCCTAACCCTAACCCTGACCCTGACCCTAACCCTGACCCTAACCCTAACCCTAACCCTAGGTGCGCCACCCGGCGGTCGTGCGGCGGATCGTGGCCCTAGAAGCGGAACACGTGTTCATGTCTCCCAACCAGCGCCCGAGAGGACACGTATTCCGCTGTATTCGGCCGTATCCCGCTGTGTCACTGTATTCCTCTCCGCTGTCTTCACGCGGTGCTCTGAAACACACTGCACAATGCCGTACTCCCGCCCCGAGGTTGGCGTACTCAGCGCGTAGGATCGTCACCGACTTCACCCTCATGCGCGCAGCCTCGGACTTGCTTGCTCGCCTCTGTGGTGTGTCTGGTCTGAGGGCGTCCGTGACGCAGTTCTCGGGCACCATGGTCGCGCAGACACGGCTCGACATCGAGGCGGAGCACCTGCGCCGCTTCGGCTGGAACTTCGCCGCGTGGCGCGACGTCCGCTTCCCGCGCGTGCTCGCCGCGAGTGAGGCCGTCCTCGTCGAGTCGTACGAGGCTGGAGAGCTCGTCTCCACCTACACCACCGACCTCACCCTCGGCGTCTCCTCCGGCAGCGGCGGCGCCGACCCCCTCTCGCGGGAGGAGGTACCCGGACCCATCCCCTACCCCCACGGCACCCGAACCCAGGGTCGCCGTCCGACGGAGCCACCCCCCACCCCCACGATACCCGAACCCAGGGTCGCCGTCCGGGTGGTACCGAGCCATCCCCCACCCCCACGGTACCCGAACCCAGGCGCACTTTGTGGTGTCGCGCGGCGAGGACCTCTACCTCAAGATGCTCCTGCTCGACAACCTGATGCACGCCGACCTGCACCCGGGCAACATCCTGCTCCGCCGGGCGCGGAGGTACGGCCGCAACTCGCTCGCGCTCCTCGACGTCGGCATGGTGGCGCGGCTCACCCGCCGCGAGGCGAGCCACGCCCCGAGCCACGCCCCGAGCCACGCCCACACAGCATCTAGACCACAGCATCTAGACCACAGCATCTAGACCGCAGCATCTAGACCGCAGCATCTAGACCGCAGCATAGGCGGACGCGTTCATCGGCTTCCTGAACGCGATGGGCGCGGGCGACGGCGCCGCCGCCGCCCGGTGCGTGCTCCGCTTCTCGGACTCGCAGGCTTGCACGGCGAGGGAGGAGTTCGAGGCCGACATGTCGGACTTGTTCCGCCGCACATGCCGCGGGTACGGCACCGGCATCCAGCTCGGGGACCCGAGATGCCACACACGGGCTCCTACCGGCGCTACTACTTTCTACAACACGCTCTGCTGCCGCACGCTCCGCCGCCGCCTTCTCTGCCGCAGCACGCTCCGCCGCCTCCATCGCCGCCACCTCCGCCACCGCACGTCCCGCCGCCCGCCCACCCGCCACCAGCCGGCCGGAGCGCCCTCTGGCGCCGGACTGCACCCTCACCGCCGCGGCGACAGCCGTGTAGTCGGCGGTATCGCAGCCGCATCTCACGAGATCGCGTTCCCAACCCCCCGGCTTCGCCGTACCCCCAGGTTCGGGGAGGTGCTGCGCGGCGTGCTGGCGCTCGTGCGCGACCGCGGCGTCGCGATCGACGCAAACTACATGACCCTCGTCACAAACGTCCTCTGCCTCGAGGGGATGGCGGGCACGCTCGTCCCAGAGTACAACGTGCTCGACGCCGCCCGCCCGCTGCTCGATGCCCACCGCGCGCTGCCGCGCCCCCTCTTCCGGCTGGCGATGCCGCTCGTCGCCAGCTTGAAGCGAGTCAAGGACCGCGTGTGCCGATGAGCCGCGCGCCCGTAGCGCGCCCCCGGCGCTGCGCACTAGCGCGGAATGATCTCGACTCCTCGCCTCGCGCGTGTACGGCTGTTGCGCTGGCCCGACATCCGTCGATCTGTGTCTCGCGCGCTGCGCGACGCCTCACATCCCTTTCGTCGTTTTCGGTTTGTCGTTTGTGTTTACCAGTACCGCTTCCACGACCGGGTGTTGGCTGTTGCTCTCAGGTGTCGTTGCTCGGAGGAGGCTGCGCTGCGCAAGCACGGGCGGGAGGGGCTTCTCTCCTGCGGAGTCGTGCGTGCGCAGGGCTCCTCTTTGCTTTCACTTCTACTCCCTACTATCATCTCGTTCTCCCGTCCTACCTCTTGTACCAGAGAACCAGCAGAGAACTCGGCGCGCGCGGCCGTCGTGCGTCGAGCGCGCGCGGGGCAGGACACCTGGTACGGGAAGGTACATTCGTCGTGAGCTGTCAGGAGCTCACAGGACGTTGCTCGCAATTTGCCTGGTGGCTGGTGTGCTCGACGCGTCCGCCCGACTAGCGACTTTATGGGCCGATCCGAGACTGGTACAACTGTACTTCATCACGTGATGTAGATCTAGCGTAAAGAAAGAATTTACAACAGAGCTGCCTCGCACGGACGCACTGGGCACGGGACTGGGAGAGAGACTCTCTCTCTCTCTCGGGACTGGCGCGCAGTGTCTCGCGCCTTGCGGGGGGGGAGCGGAAAGGAGGAACCTCTTCCCAAGAGCACCACTCGCGCACTGGCACTAACTAGGTACTCTACGGGAATTTTATTTACAACAAGCTCCCTCGCACGACACTGGCACGGGACTGGCGCGCACGGCACTAACACAGGTACACCACGGGAGCCGCCTAAGCGACTCCTAAACGATTGCCCTTAGGGGTACCCTCGGAGCTTGTGCCTCGCCCGACGCGTGATCGTGCAGCATTGCCGAGCAGAGCACCAGTTACATCGGGCGGGCGCACGCACGAGGTGAATGCTGACACTCGCCCTCGCCGCTCCACCGATATCCGCCTGCGCGCGTGCGCTCCTCGACGTGGTCCGCGCTAACAACAACGCCGCCACCGCCGCTGCCTCTGCCCGCGCATTCGTCGTGGACGGAACGACGGTGGGGCGGGTCCTGCCCAAGTCTGCTGCGGCTCTCGGCCGCTACGCCATCTTTGACGTGAGCGAAGAGGCCGTCACGCTGCGCGGTGATGCTGGCGCGACGCTCGAGGAGCGGTCCAAGGCCGTGACAGAGGTTATCTGCGACCTCCGTGCCGAAGGATCTGTGCCCATGCTCGACGGCTGGCGCGATGAGGCCTTCGCTGTCCGCACCTCCTTTTTCGCCCCTCCCTCCCTTGTCGTGGAGCGCGCCGCGGCCGGCCTCTTTGGCGCTCCGGCGTACGGTGTGTTCGTGAATTGCTACACCGAAGGCGCTGACGGCAGGCCCGCCAGCATGTGGCTCGCTCGGCGGGCAAAGAGCAAGCCTACCTGGCCGGGGCTGCTCGACTGCCTTGCCGCGGGCGGGATGGCGGCAGGCGAGATGCCTCTCGGCGCGATCCGCAAGGAGGCGGCCGAGGAGGCTGGCGTGCCGCCGCGGCTGGCAGGCGCGATCCAGCCGGCGGGCGGAGTTTGCTACACCGGGTTTGACGAGACGGGGTGGGCCCTCAAGCGCGATGTGCTATACACCTTCGACCTGCGCTGCGGTGACGACTTCGTGCCGCGCGCTGTCGACGGGGAGGTCGAGGAATTTTCGCTCACGCCCATGGATGAGGTGGCGCGGCTGGTCGAGCGGCAGGCGGGGGAGAGGCTGTTCAAGCCGAACGTGGCCGTCGTCATCGCTGACTTTCTGCTGCGGCGCGGCTTCGTGTCACCCGACGACGACGGCTACCTCGAGCTGCTCGCGGAGCTGCGGAACGCCGAGCTGCGGTGACACGAACTCGAACACGCATGTTATGTCGCCCATCAAGCGTGACAGTGTTTGGGTACCAAACGTAACAACACTTAAAGAACATCTGAAACGCGACACGGACTGCGTTGGTGGTTGGAGGTTGGTGGCATGATCGATGATGGTGCAGTACACATCGACAGTACACACAAGTGTCAAAGACCATGCCAAATTGCACAGCCGCACGCGTCCCCGCGTGTGTCGCCATGTGTGTCGCACGCCACGCACACGGGGAACTCCATCAACCCGAACCTCACTCACGCATGCTCACACACCATGACCGCAGCGCTGTGCACATGCACATGCTATATGCTCGACACACGACTATGCGATCGCGGCGTTGTTCCGGTAGAAGCCTTTCCGCTCCTGTCTCCGGAGCGAGACTGCCCACCACGCAGCGCCGCCGAGAAGAGCAGGCAGAACGAGGGGCTGCACAAAGACAAAGGTGGCGACACCTGCTGCCGCACCGCCTAGGAACACCTGTGACGGGGGTGAAGCGACCTCTGAGTGTGGAGGGAGAGCGAGGAGAGGGGTGCTGCTTGCGGTCGCTGGGCGGGCGGGTACCGGGAGCGTCGACGGCGGCGGTCTACGAAGCGACTTTGGCCACAGCGACATCGCTTGTTGGGGCGGCTGTCGACCTCCTTGTCCGGAACGAATGTTTGTTGGTTTGGTTTTCTTGGATCTCCTTTGGTCCGTTGGGTAGCGAGGATTGGTGTAACCGAGCCACGGAGGCGTGTTTTCTGACGGCCGACCGTCAGTGCACGGAGTTGCCACTTCTCCGACTGCCCCGGCTAGTTCCCGAGGTCGTCGGGTGTGACCCCTTCGTCCCCCGAGACCTAGCGCGGGTGGGTTGGAGTGGCCTCAGAAAGGCGCGCAAGCACGCCCTACGTCTTCCCCTCCTCCCCATCGGGCCGCATGAGCGGCCACGCCTCGCAGATTCGTTTCCGCGCCTGGGTCAGGCGCGCGGGGCATCCCCCGGGTCGCTCGACCAGCGATCCGTAGAGTGGCCGCTATGCGAAGGAAAGGGTGGGGCCCTCGGGGTACGCCTCGTCCGGCCCCCTCCGAGGGGGGAAGGGCATTGCGGGGTCCCCACGGGCGCCTCTGTTCGGCCCTCCCGAGGGGGGGAGGCTGGGGAGCAAGGGGGTCCGGAACGAATGTTTCTTTTGTTTAGCGAGTCTTTTTCTCACATCGTCGGTTACTTCCTGTTGTGTGTTGTGATGTTGTGCTCTTGTTTGTTCCTTTGGCACGGTGGAGTGCTGGGGGGGGGCGACAGGGAGGAGGATGTGGCCTTGAGTTATGTGTACGCCAAGGTAGGTAGGTAGAAAGGTGAAGAACAGCCAGGCTCGGACTGGACACCAACGCGGTATGGGTGGACGCGAGACAGGCTCACAAGACAGGCTCACAAGACAAGCGAAGCGCCGGAGGCGCGCAAAATGGAGGCGATTTTGTGGTGGTAAAGCGCAAGATGGCCAGAACGGGGCGCCGCGCGCTTGGGAGCGCTCGCCGCTCGCAGGCCAACTCCTCCCCAGCACGGTGCGTGCGTGCGCTCAGGTTGAACTCGATGCCGCGACTTCACAGCCTCCGCCGTGAAGCGTCCAGCCCGCCGAGGGCGGACGCTTTTCGGAGCCATGGTTTTGGCGCAGCGCTTCGCCGGCTGTCATCCCAGTCCATGGTCGCTCCACAACGATACCCAGGCGTGCCCGCACGCTCCTCAGGGGAGTGGGCACGCCTCTTGCTATCCTGAAGCGCGCGTCAAGCCCGCTCGACCGTGAGCTTGCTCAGCGAACAGTTTTTCAACAGATGTTGAGCGACGGGCGTGAATCTCCCACACACACGCCAACTCCTGACTGAGCACGCCAACCCACGTGATAGCCCCACTGATCCATCCCATGCGATCAAGCGCCGCTCGGACCCCATCTTCGAGCAGGATTCCTCGCGGCAACACAACTCGGCGCTCTCGATGTGCGCGCTAGGCAGTCTCAACGCCGATTACTGCCGAGCGCGCACGACTCGTAGGCGTACCGGCGTGCCGCTGGCATACTACGCGACGGTGGAGGCGCGTGGGCTTGCTCAAAAGGCATGCATCTGTCGGAGAGTGTGCCGCAAGACCTGATGTGCCTCCGCTCCAGGTGTGTGGCAGTTCGATGGATCCAGCCCAGTGACCTCTACGTGACGATTGAGGACTGCTCTTCCCCTTCGGCCGAGCCTCCAGTCCCTGCCACCGTGCACCTGGCGCCAGCGAGCTGCATTTACATCCCGCGCGCGCGATCGGCAGTCGAGTTACAACCCGCAGCTGTGCTGTGTGCGCGCGCACTCGAAACGTGGTTCGGCGATCTCTCGGCGACCACTCGTCGACTCGCGCTCGGACGCGAGGTGCGTGCTCGCCTGCCTCCCCCCGTGAGGGGACTAGGCCATTTTTAGCGAGATCGGGGAAATCACTCTCATCGCCCGCCGCTCACGCTTCCCTCCCTCTCCCGCGCCGCCGTATCCGGTCCTAGCCTGCGATACATTGAGACCTCACGCCCCGCGACTGTCTTCCACGCTCGCAGGCGGGCCTATCCGCCGTGCCACTCCATGCATGATCACCGCTGGGGGCAGCGGTGCTCGTGCGACTGCGGATTCGGCCTCACCTCACGCCCTCTGGCCTGCAGCTGCACGTTGCCGGGCGCCATTCTCGAGCCCTTTGGCGAATGGGCCCAAATCCGGGCTCTGAGCACGCCTACTGCTGACGATCTATGTAGCTAGTGCGAGAAGGACACGGCCATGTTCAGCGAGATCTGTGGAATCATCCTCACCACCCTGCCCTCACGCCACCCAACCCGTCCGGCTGCTGCCATACTGGGACGTGAGTGCAATATTTGTGCTGCCCTCGCCATCCGACGCGTGTGCTCCGCTCCCCGCAGGCGAGGATCGCCGTCGCGCACCAACACGCTTCGTCCGGGAGGCGCGCGGCGCGACCTGCGTTGCGAGAGCGTCGGCGGAGCCCGCGTGCCGGCCCTCACTGGGACCGCCGCCGGGGCCCAGAGGGCGCAGATTCGGCCCCCCAGGGTCAAAGAGGGCGGTTCTGACACCGCCACGGGGTGCTTTCGTGGACCCCGCGAGCTCGCGTTCATCCCTTCAAAAATATTTATTTACCCGCAGTTTGCCTCAAGTGGTCGGCCGTCCATGTTGTGGCTTCTCTCTCGCACGGTACATACGAAAACAATCGCGGCTCGGAGCTCGGCGGCATATGTCAGCGCGTTTTTGCTCGGAAATTTTACAACAGAGCTCCCTCCGAGCTCCATGCGGCAAAAAGAATTCGGTCACCCCGCGTCATGAGCGGCGCCGGCGGCCCAGCCCTGCTGCCCGACCTGGCACGGGGCGATCTGGGCTCGCTGCTCGCCCTCCTCTCCGGGCGACAGACACGCGGCAGGCTCGACGCGCGGCACCCGACCGAGAAGCAAGACACGCTGCTCACCTGGGCCGCTCGTCACGGGCAAGCGCCGAGGCGGTGCGGCTGCTGCTCGAGGGCGGCGCGAGCGTTGGGGCGGCTGACGGGGACGCCGCCTCCGCTCTCTTCCTCGCGTGCGAGAGGGGCCACCTCGAGTGCGTCCGGCTGTTCCTCGAGGCCAATGCGGCGGTCGGCCAAGCCCAGGCAGAACGGCGCCACGCCGCTGCTCATTGCAAGCCAGGAGGGTGAGCTCAGCTGCGCCCGGCTGCTGCTCGAGGCGGGCGCGGTGGTCAATCAGGCCGATGAGGACGGCGCTACGCCGCTGTTCATGGCGTGCCAGGAGGGCCACCTCGAGTGCGTCCAGCTGCTTCTCAAGGCTGGCGCGGCGGTCAAACCTGCCGCTCCGCGCGGCGCGCTGAGGGCAGCCGAGGTTGAGGTCGACCGCCACCACGCCGCGGCAGCGCTCGGCCTGCCTCGCAGCGTCGAGCAGCGTCTGCGGGTCGTTGCCCGAAGAGTGGGCGACCAGCGGGCAGTCGTCGGCTGGCGCTCCAGCAGGGGACGGCAAACTCCTCGGACCGGATCATCGGCGTGTAGCATAGCTGCGCGCTGTGCCGCCGAGCGAGGAGCCGGAAAGCCAGCTCGCTGCCGACATCGGGGCGAGGATAAGCCGATGTGGCGGCAACGGCTGGCGCGGCGGAGGCAGCGCGGCGGAGGTGGTCAGCCCCCTGCTGAAAAACGCAAATCGCGGGCTCTAATTTTTCGCGGCCTTCCGAGCGCAGGCGCTGGGTGGGACGGTAGCGAAATTTCTTTTTTTCGCACCAACGCCCGCGCCGAGCAAAAGGTGGTCCGCGGAGCCGCCCACCCCGGCGGTTCGCTCGCTACGCGTCGCTCACCGCCGGGGCGGGCGCCTGGCGGCGCCGCTGCGCAAAAAGCTACAATTAGACCGTCCGATTTCATGCACCTTCCTTCTCGAGCCCACTCACATCAAGAGCTCGAACCCTACCCGCCCGCTCACCGCATCTCGAATCGCTCCCTCCCCTTCGTCGCCCAATTCGTTGTAGCGCTAGCGGAGGTCGATGCTTTTCAGCACCCCGTTGACGCGAAGAGCAGAGGCCAGCGCAGCGGCGCCCTCGTCGCCGATGTTGCTGTCCACGAGCACGAGCTTGGTCAGCACCTCGTTGACGCGCAGCGCCTCGGCGATTGCAACAGCACCCTCGTCGCGGATCTTGTTTCCAGCGATGCCGAGGGTGGTCAGCACCCCGTTGACGCGAAGAGCGGAGGCCAGCGCCTTGGCGCCCTCGCTGCGGATATTGTTTTCGCCAAGGTTGAGGTCGGTCAGCGCCCCGTTGACTGCGAGAGCACCGCCGATCGCCTTCGCGCCCTCGTCGCCGATGTAGTTTTCGACGAGGTTCAGTTCGGTCAGCACCCCGCTGCCCTCGACCAGCTTGGCCAGCACAAGGGCCTCTGGCACCCCGAGATCGTTGCGGCTCAAATCTAGCCTATCGAGCGTGTTTGCGCGCAGCTCCTTCAGCGGCACCGAGCCGAAGATCTCGAGCGATGGGCTGGCGAGCACAGCTGTCGCGAGCGGCTGCGCGGCGTCTCCCGAGATATCGTTGCGACGCACGTCGAGATTTTTCAGCACCGCGTTGACGCAAAGAGCGGATGCCAGCGCCTTGGCACCCTCGTCGCCGAAGACGTTGCCGCGGAGATTGAGGGTGGTCAGCACCCCGTTGACGCGCAGAGCGGAGGCCAGTGCCTCGGCGCCCGCGTCGTCGATGCCGGTGCGGGCGAGGTCGAGCTTGGTCAGCACCCCGTTGCCGCGCAGCGCCTCGGCGATCGCAGTGGCGCCCTCGTCGTGGATGTCGTTAGAGCAGAGGTTGAGGTCGGTGAGCACCGCGTTGACCGAAACCCCCGCCGCGACGACCGCAGCCGATCCGGGTCCGAGGCCCTTCCCCGACAAGTCGAGCGACGGCACCGCCTCGCGCCCGTTGAGCTGCAGCGGGTTGAGCGGCATCGACGGGTTACCAGACGCCCCCTTCTCGCCCACGCTCAGCGCGACGAGCGTGTGCGTCTTCCGCACCACGCCGAGCAGCGCCTCCCGCACGCGGCCGCACGCCTTGCCCCAGTCGAGCGTCAGCGACGTCAGCGCCGACGGCTCCGACTCCATCCACGCGACCACCGTGTCCACCATCACGGGATCCGCATCGACCATCAGCTTCAGGTCGCCGTCGGAGTCCACGCCCGTGCTCACGACCCTCTCGCGCCCCTCGTAGATCACCTTGGCCCCGACCTCCTTCGACTCGCCCTCGACCTCGCTCGCCTCGATCCAGTCGGTCTCGCCGCCAAGGGCGAACCCCGTCAAATCGACGCCGCTGGCCTGCAGCGGCAGTACCGTATCCATCGCCGCGGCAAGCCCGCTGCCGCCGCCGTGCTGCATCGTCGCCGCGAGCACCGCCGCGCGCTTCACCTTGAGCGCATCGCCCACCGCCGCTTGGAAGCGCAGGTCGTTGTTGTACGCCTCAGCCTCGTCGCCGAGCGGCGCCTCGAGCCGCTCGTCCGCCGCACCGGCGTCCGCGCCGCGCTCGAGGCCGAGATGCACGCGAACTAGTTGCGACGCCTCCTCCGCTGCCTCGTCCGCCACCCCCCGGCGCACCTCCGCCGCCATCTGCGCGCCCATGTCGGTGAGCAGCTTCTTGCGCTTGCCCGCCACCTGCTCGAGCGTGAGCGAGGCCATGTTGATGGAGAAGCTGCTCTGGATGACGAGCGTGCTGCCCTCCACGCCCGTCCACCGCACCTGCAGGTGTCGAGAAGGGGCAGGCGATGAAGGAGAAGGCGGAGGAGGGAGGTGGAGCGAGGTTGACGCACCTGCAGGCCCATGAGCGGCGGCAGCAGCGTCTCCCTCTCGTGCGGGTACTGCGAGAGCCACGCAATGTCGGCGCCGCGGTCGATCATGCCCATCCCGAGCTGGAGCACCGTCGACGCCTTGCCCTCCGCGTAGTGCACCGCCTGCGCGCGGTCGGTGGTGGTCGACGAGAAGCCGTACTCGACGCCGCCGCGGAAGCCCAGCGCGTCCGGCTTGAAGAAGGCTTCCGGGAGCGTGGCGCCCGCCCAGCCGCGGTAGAGCGGCGTGATCTTGGTCAGCGGCGACAGCTTGACAATGATCGAGTTGATCGCGTGGATGGTGGTCGAGTACTGGTTGTGCCACGTCCAGCGCACCGCGGCCTCGCCTTTGCCTGCCGCCGTCGCAGCCCACTCGCCGAGGTTAAGCAAGCCGCACTTCTTCTGCAGAAAGGGCACCTCCTTCTCCGAGGCGTACTCCAGCCGCACCGCGCCGTCGGCGCCGCGCGCTGAGGAGAAGCGAAGGACGCCGTTGTACTTCTCGTACATCGGCCCCGTGTACAGCCGGCCGGCGACCAGCTCCTCCTTGGTGAGCGGCGCCTGCCCCGCCTTAACGAGCTTCGGGTTCATCTCGTCCGCCATCTTCTTCTCGTAGACCGAGAGCGGCTCCGGCTTGCGGCACCACTCGGGGTGGGCCGTGCGGAAGTCGCCGCCGCGCTCGGCGTAGCGGCCGTCCTGGTCCTCGACAGGCGCGACGACAAACTCCCACTCCAGCTTGGAGGTCGCGCCCTTGATGCCGTTGGAGGTGTCGAACGGCACGTCCGCATCCTTCTTCTCGCAGTGCTCCGTCTCCATGGCCTTGAGGAGCGAGCCGTCCACCATGAGCGGCGGCCCGATGATCTTCTCGAGGCCTGCCCACAGGTCAGGGGACGGGGGTCGCTGGTAAGAGTGGGCGGGTAGGATAGGTAAGCTACTGGCGTGCAGCACGCCTCCGTAGAACTGCTCGACGCCGCCGAAGCCCATCTCACCCTTGAACGCGTCGCCCTCCGCGGCGAACTTGGCGTTCAGCGCCGCCCCGGTCGCGGCGCTTTGGTCGCGCAGCTTCTCAATGGCGGACCAGAGGGGAGCACTGAGCCCGCTCAGCTTCTCCGCCTCGAGCTTCCCCTCGAGGTCGGCGAGCGAGAGGTTGCACACGTAATTGAACGGGTCGGCTCCGGCCGGCGCCTTCAGCGCCTTGGCCACCACCTCGGTGAGCTCGATGGAACGCACCCAGCCGGGGACGCCCCACTTCGTGGTAGTGGCTGGCGCGT